TTTTTTTTTTTTTTTTTTTTTTTTTTGGAATGCCACCACAGAAGATGCTAACTTCACAATCGTGTAAGCAGTGCGATCGGGAGAACAAGGAAATTATGAGCTGACGCCGATTTTTTACGAAGATTTCCCGACTTTCTCCCAGTTACCAGAACTTCGTTTACTTGAGAAAAAAAAAAGAGACAAAAATTGCATTACGAATACCTTTTTCAGAAATACCAAAAGCAAAGATCCGCCTCGACGCGCGTCTGTGTTGACAAGTTTTTTTTAAATACATAACCTATACACCTACTAGCCTGTATACATAAACTGACTGAAAAAGATATCCCCAGTCAGTACGCAAAAGTGACGTTCGTTAACGTCTGTACGATTTCTTGATTCGCGGACTAAAGGAGAAGGTGAGACGCGAGTCGATCCAAGGACTCGTGATCGAAAAGTGTAACAAGGACAGCTGGAAAGGATTGCAGCCCGTAGAGGACAAAGACGCGAACGAGCATAAGCAGCTACGACCAAGTAGCAGTGGTACCACATAAAGAAAAAAAAAAACAAAAAAAAACAAACACGAATAAATCTAAATCCAGGCGGACGTCGGTCGAGAAGTAGATATAACAAAACAAAGCCTCAAACCCGTCGGGCTCGGAGACACGTGTCACGTGCATTTAGAATTCACGCAGAAAGTTCTCGAGTGTGACAAACGAGTCAGACAAGAGAGAGCGAGAGAGAGAGACAGCGTAAATGCATAACACCACCCCCTATAAATACACGTTAGGGAGGACCAACACCCCCGTACAAAAACGAAAGTCCCTAGACAGTCAAATGAAAAAAAGTACCAAAAATTTCTAAGCATACCATAAGCCTCCCCTAACCGAGTGGAGCATAACGAAGAGACCTAACCTCAAATTCTTTATTAAAACCTTCAAACGGCACATTCGTAGAGAGAAGCCATCCCGTGGTTATTAAACGTAGCAGATCGTAAATCCCGAGCTCAGCTTATGCATCCCATAAAGCATAACTCCCTTTATTTTCACGCGACTAACCCAAACAGAGTATCTATAGAGTATCAAGAGTATCAACATCGGCAACGGCACCAGCGTGGCGGCCGTCGTCGGATAATATTTGCCCAAGTGGAAGGCGTTAAGCTAGGACAAAATAACGGTATAAAGGGGTTGGCGTGCGTTTAAAAAAAAAAAAGATGAATAATTAAAAAAAAAAACTTTCGTCATCGCACCACGGAACTAAGATTGAGGGAGAAAACTTTTTTTTCATCCTTGGAAAAATTCAACCTAACGTAACCCCCACCATACGTATCTACGGTATAAGTGCCCACCAGACGTTACGCTCAGTCCTCGATTCTCCGGACGAAGATTTATCTCGTGTCGATGACACGAGCAGGGCCGTTCCTCCCGATCAATCGGACAGGCAACCCAACCGAAGAGTTAGACCAAAGAGAGACTGCCGTCTGCGAATTTCAAGAAAAATATTTCGATTACCACCGAGTCCCGCGCGAATGACGCGGTTTCGTGGATGCGCCCGTAGGATCTGCTGGAAGGACGTGGACGACGCGGAGGACGAGGAAGCTGACGGGAACGGGTCTCGAATATTTTGACTGTCAGTGGTAGATTCTCCCTCCGGGCAATTTCTTACCGCACGCTCCGTTTACAGTACGAGTGACCCGCTATCTTTCCGTATATTTTGTGTATGTATGCATATACGTATATACAACTGTAAAGCTTATATATTCAATGAAAACTCGCCTCACTGCCAACTTTGTTAATTTTACTTCAAACACAAGTAAAACCGTCTCGTATTATCGCACGAACATCATTCACCGAGTCTGGTGCGTTAATCACTTTAGAAAAGTGACAAATAAACGAAGTTCGACTCAAAAAAATTAGAGTACAACATTTTTTTTTCGAAAACCACACGAATAAACCTAACTCGCAATCGGTTAAAATACGAAGGAACGATTGTTCGCGATTATCGACGGGCGATGAGGGGCGCAGGAAAAGCGTTTAAAGCATTCTCAGAAGGGAACTGGTGAGGTTCGACCGAAAGTTTTAATGAAGTCAAAACTAAAGGTGAAACCCACGGCAGACTTCCATTACTCGCCGATATACATAGATAGATATCCCAGCGAAGAAGATTGCAACTGTGTTATCGTAGAAGCTCGCAAGATACTGCACGTAGAGCTTTCGGCGTACGGATAGTTATATTCCCTTCTTCCGAAGTAACTTTGAAATTTTTAAACTTTACGAAAATGAAATAACAAAGGCGGAAGGGAGTAGTACCGATCGTGCAGGGGAATATTCGCCAGCGCTTTTTTCTACAGTATATATATATAGATATATAGCTACAAGGTATACGCCCCCAACGGACACAGATGCTCGCCAATAGCTTTGAAGTGGAGATGAACGACGTTCTACAAAAAAAAAATCCATCTCGAGAACTCTTCGAACTCGAGGCACCAGTAGCGTCGATGCCAACGAGAACCGTGACGCAATTGACCAGTAAGGTTTATATAAAAAAAAATTCTCAACCAACTCAATTCTCCGAGTGCCTTCGATCAGACACGAAAGCCTACGCCGATGCCTTACAAGAACCCCCCCACCAAAACAAAAGTCGAAAATCAAAAATACTGATTTGCATATTGAACTAATTAAAAAAATTGTGCCAATCGTCATTAAACAGGCGTGTCTAAAAGATTTTAATTTCCCAACGCTCAAACTGAGAATAAGCTACCGTATGAGCGTCATATAGTTCGAAAGGTCAAAAGCGTGACGATACACCCGTTTGATTCGCGACACCCGGTATATTCCATACGCCGGTCACGCGCGTGCTTAAGTGCGTACAGTAAGGTACACGACGACTAACGCAGCCTCCTGCCGACGATAGAGCGTAGGTGGGTTGTCTCGTAGCTTAGCCAGAGGAAAGTAAGCACAATACGTGCGAGCGTGGCGACGGCGTGTACTCTCAATAAGGGAGTAAATAAAAGAAAGAGAGAGAGAGAGAGAGAGAGAGAGAGAGAGAGAGAGAGAGAGAGAGAGAGAGGAGGGGAGGGAGAGAGAGAGGGGAGAGAGGAGGGGGGAGAGAGAGAGAGAGAGAGAGAGAGAGAGAGAGAGAG